TATATTATTTATTATACTGCAATTGGGTTTTAGCCCGGTGGCAGTAGTACACAATAGGACACAACAGACAAGTAACACACATTACACTAAGTGACAACACGTTCAAACAAAACACAATACACAAAACACAACAAAAACGACATCCTACCACAGTGAATACAAACCAAATACGACAACTACAACAATTATAGCAATAGATAATAGCAATAGATGTGTTCTGATTCCAAATATTCCGGCCCTATGAGGCACGCCACAATATATACATTTTGTATTAATGCAAATCATGAGAAAAGACTAGAATTACACAAGTTGTTACCAAGTTTCCTTCCAAACATGCGATTTCTCCTTTTTCTACACGTATGCACATACGTACCCTGAACAAAGGGCCGGAATAGCTCAGTCAATATAGCGAATAGGCTACAATCTTCACGGCCGAGGAGTTGGGGGTGACTAATAAGCATCGGACTGTGCTGTAATTTCGTAATTTATGCTCTGACTAGCGAACAAAATGCAGGACCACAACGAATAGTGACAAACCCTATTTCACAGACGTTATACAACTGCAGTAACGACGCTGTTTGCACAAACTGAAACTGCGACTTGTTATTAAGGTACTTTTAATGTAAAGAAAAACAACCTAAAGGCTCTAAATTCTTGAAACACTAAACGTCACTTGTACTCGAAGGCGATAAGGAAATGGTGATTGGTGACATAACCTTTGCGACCCAAAAACGAGGCGGGTGCTTCCTCTTTCATACTGTTATAGGTTTTACTTTTCGAGCAAGAAAATATTACTGTCTCGAAAACTCGTTTTCTAAACACTGGCTCTAGAAATCTGATACTTTGAGAGTGGTAATTGTGATGATGTATTAACTGAGACAGCATAACAAGGTACGTTTATACGGACCACGAGGCGTGACGAACATTGCCTATCATATACACGGCGAAACTCAATTTATGAGATGTAAGCAGGTCAGTGCAACAATTCATGGACCTGCATCCAGCTAATGACGTGTTCTCACCACAAGGAGTTAATGGGCTGACATTAAACTGTGCTTTAAAGTTGTCGCTTCCTTTTTTACGTTTTCCATATTGCGAGTCACGGAAAGAAAGGACGAGGATGTTTTTGGTAATATTGATGGAAATTCTGGCGTACAACAGATACATATCGGAGTATCAGACAAATTACTATCGTTAAAATACTTTATAGGTAAACTAAAGTCGAAACCCAAACGCTTTTTTTTTTTAAACGGACAGCATGTTTCGAATAATGTAGGCAGAATAATACACAAGGCCGGATAACTATTAAGTTAACGTTAAAGGCTGACAACAGAAATCTGGATGAGAACATGAAATACATGTGTAAGTATGGTATAGGATAATAAATATTAAGGTAAAAGGTAAAGTTATCCCTGTAACAGGTCGTGAAGGCCCATAATTTTGTGAGACGTTGAGGCTCCCACATTTTCTAGACAATAGGCTCACAGATGAAAGTAAGCTTGTCAGCCTTACCCGGCCGCCCTTTACCCCCCAGGAAGATTCCTGGTACTTTTCTGTTAGAGGCTGAGTTGACCCCAAGGCCATAGTGCGGCTGGAAGGATTAGGTAAATTAAAAAAATATCAAATCGGGACTCGAACCCGAGACCTTCCGGCTTGTAGCACAGTGCCTCAACCAACTACGCCACCGCGTGCCCCCGATAATAAATATTTCAAGACTTAATTTCATCCTTGTAAATTCCGAGAATACAAGACATTTGTATTTGGTACTTCAGACACTGTATACTCAAAAACTTCGAATACAAATGCTGCATAATATTGCAGTGCCCTTTCGACGGACCAATTCTTCGCTTATTTAACGACACCTTTTTATTACCCAATGTTGTAGCGTCATGTGGATTTGTGAATTATTAACTAAAATGTATGTTTGATACTGCAAACTTCTGAACACAACATAAACCTAGGGATTAATTAGAAAAACGATTCTGGTCTATTGCAAGGTACTAGCCCATGCATCTTCACTCATCTCTAAGCCAGCCGGGTAGCTCAGTCGCCATTTAGAATGGTGACTAGGATACGGTTTGGACAACCGGAGACGGTTGAGGTTCCCTCATTCGCCGCCGCGCCTAGACAGGCTCTATGGCACACACTCAGCCTGCGGTACCAGCAATAAAGCTGCCGGGCGTGACGCAAACATCTCCGTCTAGTGCCGAAGATTAAGAAAGACTGGAGATGTACCTCCATAAGAAGGCCTCTGGCCCCACTTTGTCCATCTGCCTCTGGACACAACCCTACAACAACCATCTAGTTCAGCTACGCAAAAAATGATAAACCTGTCCGGCAGCATTGGTATTTTCTGCTGGAAAATAATCCAAAATTAAATTCTAACAAGCATTACTTGCGAAATTTTAGAAACTCATTCAAACAGAAGACAGAACTAAATACCTTACAGCCTACAACCTTAATCACTTCGCTTTGTGTAAATGTCAAACGATTAACATGACAGACAAAATTGATGTTCCAAGCTTATATCACTCAATAGGTATGGAAGTGAAGAATTCTGTCTTCTGGGATATAATGCTATGTAACCTGTTAACAGCCAACGGACGTTTCGGAGGAACATGTCGCCTTCCAATCGTCCGTTGACTTTCAACGAATTTCCCGGCGTAATATCCCAGAACACTGAACTCCTCATAACCACCTCTGTGAGAACCTCAAATCCCACACACGTATATGTATGGTTGTCTCAACTTATCACGATAAGTGTAATTCTTGAGACTCTGGTTCGGAACTCAAAAAGAAGCTATGCAAAAGAGATGCAAACGGATTAAACCTCGTCACAATGCAAGTCGTGAATTGTGGCAGCAATCCGTAATGACAACAAACTGGATGGAAACGGTTCTTCGTCGGGAGAAGTTTCGTTGGCATCAAACTTCGTACGTGAGCTATGTTGAGTTATGTCCACGATACGCTGCAGTGCGACACCGACGCAAACTCCAATGAGGGCGGCTCCTGAAGAATTAAAAGCTGCCAACATTTTACACATAACCGGAAGACTTCGGGCGGGAGGGAGGGAGGGAGAATGATGGACTGTAACTATTATAAAATACACGCTATAGCCCCTACGTACGTCAAAGGGCTCGACCAAATTCACTGTTTCCTACTGAGAACGGTAAAGGTATAGGTAAAGTTGTCCCTGTGTTTAACTAATTAAGCACTATGCCGTGAAGACGTATGGGGAGTGGATGTATAGATCCACATTTTCTTGACCTCGGCACTAGTTGGAGGTGAGTAATCAGTTTCACGCCCCGTCCGCTTTACCCCCGGGAAAGAGCCCCGGTACCCATTGTATAGGAGGTTGGGTGGACCCCAGAGCCGTTCTGGACGATTGGAGAAGTAAAAATTCTTGACACTACAGGGACTGCAACTCCGACCCCTTGGTTGTCCAGCCCATAGCCACTCGCTGTACCGACTACGCTATGCCGGCTCCTCTATTGAGAACGGCCTAGTCTAAAAACATGGACACTACTTGAAGCAGAAATTCAAGGAAGACCAGGCTACCACGAGGAACGCTGTTATGACGCGAGGAAATTGCTACAGAAATGTTCACCAAAATCAGTACGTCGTTCGCACTTACTCTGACTCTGTAAGTGAAGATAACCGTTTCTTACAGACCTATCCATCTCTGAATGACGGTCCAGTACACCGAAGAACGTCATCCTTTTATCAACAATATACGTATATATATAAAAAAGTCAGATTAAAATACTAAAAAATACTACTTGTTGCTACAAGCCGAAAGATAACGGGTTCGACTTCCGATGAGGTCATCGGATTTTTCAATTGATCAAATCCTTCCACCTGGACTATGGCCCTGGGGTCGACTCAGCCTCTAACAGAAATGAAAGCCAGGAATTTTCCTGGGGTTAAAGGGCGGCCGGGGCGTAAGGCTCACCTAACCGCCATCAGTGAGCCGAGTGACTAGAAAGCGTGGGAGCCTCGACGACTCACAACCCTCATACAAATTTATGGCAGGAAAATGTGAAAAGAGACCAATCGGAAGCCATACTGATACTCGACAGATGTGAGGGTGATATAATGAATATTAAATACATGGGGTTTGAAGGTATTTGTATGTGACGTTAACATGAAAGCAAGTCTCTGTTAGTTATGACAGTAAATACGAAGAGCCTGATTACGCTATGCCGTGGTCAGAAGTAATCCTCTGAAGCTGCAATAAAGTGACCCCTCTACACGAGGCACTGAAATTAGTAATCACAGCTGCGGTTCGGATCCTTCTAATCGCATTAACGGATTCCGCCTGACAGACTGTTTCATGCCATCACGCATTGGGATAGGTTGATGGGTTTGAGAGATGGGGAAATCAAATTAAAATTCTGCATGAATTCAATAACACTCGTATTATGATGGAGTCGGTGCTACCGGCTGAAAAAAACATAGCACTGAAGCATAAACATAAAATAATTTAAGCAACCGGTGGCTCGTCAAAGACAAACTCGTTTCATGTTTTCAAAACTAGTATTTTCGTCCAAAGACGAGATACTGAGAGTGGCTGTGATCAGAGCAATGAAAATATTTTGATTTAAAGGGGAGGTAGTAACTGGAGTAAATGAAGATAGAGCTACTTATATGTTAATTTTTTTTAATTCGCTTAGTGGGGGGGTTGGTGGGAAAGCCAGAAGGAAAGATACCACAGGGAAGACCAAGGCGTAGGTGGGTGGACAATATTAGAATGGATCTTAGAGAGATAGGATGGGATGGTATTCATTGGATAGATCTGGCTCAGGACAGGGACAAGTGGAGGGCTCTCGTGAACACGGTGATGAACATTCGGGTTCCATAAAATGCTGGGAAATTCTTGAGTCGCTGCAGAATTCGCGGCTCCTCCAGAAGGGCTCAGCTCCATGAGTAAGTAAGTGGGGGTGGAGTCCAACTGGGTCCACTCGGCACGGCGGCCACTAATTGGCCTATTGTAGCCTGCCCGGGTGATTATGAGGATGGAGAATTTCGTGGAATGAAGATTGGTAGGGTAAACAAAAGTACTCGGAGAAAACTCGCCCCAGCGCCATTTTGTCCACCACAAATCCCACTTGACGAGACCCGGGATCGAACCCGGGCCGCCGCGGTGGGAAGCCAGCAACTAACCGCTTGAGCTATGCCGCGGCCTGTACTTATATGTTGCTGTCTCATCATGAGAATACAGGGAAAAATCATCACGATTTTTTAAGTGACAAAGTTCAAATATTTGGGAACGACAGTAACAAATCAAAATTTGATTCAGGAGGAAATTAAGACGAGACTGAATTCAGGTAATATTTGCTACAACTAAACCCAGAAACATTTGTCTTCTCGCCTACTGTCCAGAAACGTAAAAATTACAATATACAGAACTATAATTTTGCCTGTGGTACTGTATGGGTGTGAAACTTGGTCTTTGATATTAATGGAGGTACATAGAACGAGGGTGTTTGAGAACAGAGTGCTGAGGAGAATATCTGGATTGAACAAAAATGAAGTTGGAGAAAAACTGCATAATGAAGAACTTCATAACCGGTATTCTTAGCCAAACATAATTGGAACGATCAAGCCAAGGAGATGCGCAGGGCATGTAGCATACATGGGGAGAATAGGAATGTATATAGGATTTTGGTGGGAAAGCCAGAAGGAAAGAGAGCACTAGGAAGAACTAGACTACAAAATTAACTGGAAGATTAGATGTAAATCATCATGACCAAGGCCTCAGAACGTTTATCAGAGTTTATTCGCCTTTCAAAAGTGAGCAATTAAACACTAACATTAAAGCAACCATCCACAAAGCACTAATTACATCGATAACGACTTCTGTCAGCCACGCTTGGAATTTGCGGCAAATACCAATCTCTTTAAAGTGTGACGCCTGCCAAACAAGGTTATTCGCACCACTGGCAATTTTCCAAGGCGTGTACACCGGTCTGTCATTAGGATTTCAAACTACCGTTAGGTCTGTGATTATATCACAAAATTATGCAGGAAACGAGCAGAAGTCATACAGAATGATGAGGATGAACATGTTCGCAGCACAGGACACGGCGAAGCCCGGCAGTGGGACCTAAACTTGGCGGCGGTTAAGCTTATGACCGTTCAAGCGACTAAGGTGCCGTTGCTGCATCGGCTTGTATGATACGGCATAATTTGATGCACGAGACTGCAATGACAGAGGCCTTGTATAATTATATATATATATATATACATGTAATAAAAATTGTATTTCTTACGTATCAGACCATACACGAGTATGTAAAATCGTAAATATAAAATTATACACTGGACAAAGGTTAAGACAAAGGCTTGACAGAGTACAGACCCGTCATCTAGTCAGACAGGAAACTCCATCATGACAAACGCAGCATCTAAACGGACTGAAAAAACTGGTTGAGCCCAAAGAGGGGCTCGTCACCACGACGGCACAGCCTGACCGACCGATAGTCGCAACGTCACTGGACTTCGACGCTCAGCTCAGTAATCAGTACTCTATTATCCTGAAGAAGAATGCAACACATTTATCCGAAACGTCGGTAGGTACCTATCACACTATACGGCGTCACATCCAGATACATCCGCAAGGATGAAATTGATGCGGCATGTGGCATGCATGCAAGGTATCAGAAATACATATAAATTGTGGGAGGAGATAACTCAAGGGAAAAGACCACTTGATGAACCTATGCGTACTTACAGTAAGCTTATTTTTGTAACTGACAGAAGCTACAAAAATATCATTCCAGCCAAATTTCAATCAGTAGCAGTAGTATGACTGTATCACAATGTTCAGTTCTCAATAAATACCTCATTTATATACACATTTTTGCATACTGATTAAGAAATTACGTTACACTCACCTGGAGGACTGACGAGTGACATGTGCAGAGTCTGCTCGAGTTCGACGACCCCCAGTGCCCAATGCAGTCCAGTGTGGTCCCCTGTGAGAACGATGGGGCACCAAGCCCCCAGATAACAGACCCATGCCTCCAGCATTACACCGCTCCCTTACAGCTTCCTCATAGCTTGGGAGGGATGACTGCAAACCAGCAAACAAGAATATTACCACCCAGTAATGGGTGAAGATACCAGAGCATATACCAGTTCTAAAACAGTTCTTGCCAGTACTGCTCTCTGGGCTAGTCATCCATCACCTCACATTGTCCAGAAATTATGACCACCTTATTTTATCAAATAAAACTGAGGAGCTACCCTTCAACTAACAACTGGAGCAGACCCAGTTCCAGAAATACCATATTCTACTTCAGAGTATGAAAAGGCGGATGAAGGCCAAAGACTAGTTTAGCCCTAAAACAGAAACGAGGTCAAAAAATTACACACTACGTGAAACTACAATGCACAATGCAGGGGAAGAATTCTATTCAACTAATAGTAGATGGCATGAAATGCAAATAATTGTCCACAATATTGTATTGTATTTGCAAATTGTAGAAGATATATTCTTTGCATATTAACATCCACCTACGTCTAAGTCTCGCACATACTCGTAATCTCGTCCCTTTAGACTTCTCGACAACAAATCTGTATTAATTTCTAATTTTTTCTTACGTGCTACATGTCCCAACCACACCATCATCCTTGATATCATCATCGTTTTCAAGAAATACAAATTATAAAACACTTCTGTCTGTTTGAACGATGACATTTCTCACCCATATAAAACAATACATTAATAATACAGATTATGGAACAACTTGCGGATGACATTTTAGTCTGCATTACAGGGCTTGCAAAAACGCTGTTAAATAGGTGAGTGAACACTTGCAGAAATCGGAATCTCACCTCTCCCAGCTGGGCACCATCGGCAATGAGGGCAACTCGATCTGGATCATAAATAAGTGGCGGGGAGGAGTTTCTCGGTGGTGAATGAGGCGCTCCCCTATGCCGGTGGCGGCGACAAACGACGACAAGGCAGACGCCCAGTAAAATGAGCATCACGCCCAGGCCAGTGACCAGCGACACGAGAAGCGTGACGGTATCCTCCAAGCCCACTGACTGATCCCTGCCCTCGCTGCTGTGAGACGGCCAGTATAACTCTGCAACACGGAAGGACACCTCGGAAACAGCCCGGCCTTAAAATATGAACGTGTGAAATAACAAGTACTATTGAACGTTTTTAGAGTAGTGAGCTTGCGCTTCCAAAGTGTTAAGGCTTCTGGGGCATAGAACATCCTCTGTACTTTACCTCCTAAAGTGAACACTTTTTATCCTAAACGTCCATTCCTACGATTAACTGTGCAATGTGTAAGAATAATATGAATGCACATCAGAACCGTAAGAGGTTTATGCAGTTTAAATATCTACACTCTTTACAACTTCGAAGGGCTGAACCATGATAATCAAAGAAAAGATGTAAGCTTTGAGGTTTTCACGGCGGTGTGTGTGTGTTCACATAGGAGCTACACGGCTCCACATCCCAGAAGACGTCATTCTTCAAAGAAAAGATATAACATACAGTTATTTATCAGTTATTGTCACCAACTCCAAAACTTTTCACGCGGTAGCTTTGTTCTTTTGTTTTCCATAACATATTGTGACATGTCTAACCTTACTATACAACTAGGGAACTTTCCGAAGACACCTCACTATTCTTCAATCCCACATCAAAAGCCACTTTATTCTTCCCACATCAATAGTTGACATAACCACCATAAGCTGGTGATACGGAGCTAAAAATAACAAGACGGGGTAGTGGTCATTTAGTGTCTACAACTGATGCACGAGAACTGGTCCGGGGCAGGGAGGCGGAAAGTCGAAGGGGCTCAGCTGTTGTCAGGGGTCAGAAGAATGAACTCCACAGTGTGAACATGTGCAGCTTTTCGGATTTACCGAGTTTCTGAATCCGTGACTTAGGGCTCATCTAAATCTCTAGACCTGGAGGTCAGCTTTATTTAACACACCAAAGTGAGTAGGTGCTCCCCAGTGAATGAATGCATAAGGGGTGGGCCACAATAATCCGGCCTTGCATTAAGACTTTCAATGACCTATTGTGCGTCCCATTTTTGATTAACCCTTTGTGCTTCCAAATTCTTTCATCTGAGAAGGGAAACTGATCCAGTTTCCGAAACGTTGCGTTCTTTCAGTACATTACACGGTAGCCAAAGTCCAAAAACTCAGTAATCCCAACTATATTTCACCATTGTCAGAATTCAGTAAAACATATATATCCCTTGTCTTATAATGTAATTCGTGGAAATTTAAACTCGAAAAATCTACAGTAAAAACGTGTGCTCAAAGTAACTGTCAAGCGTTTTCCAAATATGTTCCTTTTTGATTTTAGACATTCACCAGGTAACTACGAAGGCTAATATCTTATGGGATGTGACGACGTGTATGATAGAAATTTGCCGACGTTTCAGAAGAACGAAATCCGTCTTCAGAGTCCAGGAGTGTGCCAAGGAAGCAGTAAGTTAGCAGCAAGCAAAATTACAACGATAAATAATAATGATGATAATAACAACAATAATGCCCTCCGACGTAATTCTTTGTTTGTGCAGATCAGAAGATTAGCTACAATAAAACAAAGACAAGTCACGCTATTGCCGCATGTTCCATTTAATTTCAAATTCTCTCTTGTCTGGGAAGGGCAGTGGGCGATGTTCGCTCGAAATTAGAGGTCTATAGGAGGCACGTTTCCTTACAGAACACAAAGAGAGGGTTTAGTTACACTTAAGTTTAACAAAGTAACAACAGATGGAGTCTGAATAACCACACACAATTCCAGGAAAGGCTGAACACACTGATATATACATATTAGTTAGTCAGTTCATTGCTATGAAAGCATAACAAAAATTATATATGTTAGAGTTCTCTGAATGTGTCCATTAGTAGTGTATATATTTGCATTAGTGTTACATAAAAGACGCTCTAAAAGAAAGCAAAATGCTAAGTTGATGATTTATGCGACAAATTTCTTGCAGCAGTTGACACCAATATACCACTTACCGTAACAAATATTTGACAAGAGAAGAATAATAGAGTAACGATGTGAGTGTACGGGTATTCACTGTCACAACCGAAAAAAAATGGCACTTTAACAATGTAAGGGATATTGCTGGAATTCAAGTCAATATACACAGTACTTACAGTAATTGCTATTGGTCATCAGAACCCTCCCCAATAACTGGCAGGTGCGACCTGGTAATTTGCTAGCTCACTAAACATTTACATATGCAAAGTCTATTTGGCGTGTCCTCTAGAGCATCAAGAGAAACGTTCAGTGCTTGAACACGAACAGCTATTTTAAGCATTATTCCAGACAGCTGATTATCACTTCAACCAATCCACGTGAGGCTTACAGTAACAATTAAATAGTCATGTCCAGTGTTGAGACGATTTAGAATAACTCCACGGTAGCCCTGCGAGTCGTAGAAGGCGACGAAAAGGGAACTGGGCGCCTGGGGATATAACTAGGACACCCAGTCACTAGGGGACATAAATGCAGAGGCCTGGTCCTCCATGCTGGGGGCTTGAACGCAAGGCTTATGACCTTGGTCTGTAAGAAAAAGTTTGCGAAATCCAAACAAGTGAAAACTGGATGGTCTAATTCACGGGAAGTCCGGCAGAATTATCTAAGGAAGGCTATGGCTCAAAAGGGACTGCATTGCTAATGATGACGATGGTGATTAAATAATCGTCCTCTTGTCTTCTCTACATGAATAAAAATGGAAAATGTGAAGCCTTCTCCACAATGTAATAAAATTACGAATGGCGTTCTTTGAGGTTTATTACAAACGAAACAAACTCCGTGGCCTTAGTCCGCAAGCGAACTATAACGACCGAGCGACCGCCGCTTGTCGGCGAAGTTGGTGCCAAATTTAGCGGATAGAGGGTGTCGCGTGGTCAGCGCAATGGATCCCCACGGCCGTTACTCTCGGTTTTCTAGACCGGGGCCGCGATTTCCTTGAAATAGCTCCTCAATTATCCTCACGAGACTGAGTGAACTCCGTTCAGACCCATTACTCAGAAAATTTTGTAGCGCCGGGAATCGAATTCGGACCTCTGGATCTGTAGACAGCAACTCTGGCCACTAGACCACAGAAGCGGTCTAAGGTTTATTACACCTAATTAAAATAGGGATAGTGAAATATAAATTGGTGACAGTTTCCGATATCGAATTTCAACAATGTGGACGGAAGACCTCTGGAGAGATGTTGAGCCATGCCGTCTGGATAGCCGCCCACAGCTCCCTGATATTTGTAGGTGCAGGATTTTGGGTGCGAATGGACCTCTCCACCACGTCCCATAAATGCTCGATTGGGTTCATGTCGGGCGAACGTGGTGTCCACACCATTCGTCGGAACTCTCCAGACTGCTCCTTGAGCCAATTCTGGGCAACTCCGGCCCGATGACACGGTGCATTGTCCTGTTGGAATATCCCATCATTGTGGGGGTACATGAAGTCCATGAAGGGCTGCAAATGGTCACCAAGCAGTGTAACGTAGCGGTCACCGGTCAATGAAATTGGTGACAGTTTCCGATATCGAATTTCAACAATGTGGACGGAAGACCTCTGGAGAGATGTTGAGCCATGCCGTCTGGATAGCCGCCCACAGCTCCCTGATATTTGTAGGTGCAGGATTTTGGGTGCGAATGGACCTCTCCACCACGTCCCATAAATGCTCGATTGGGTTCATGTCGGGCGAACGTGGTGTCCACACCATTCGTCGGAACTCTCCAGACTGCTCCTTGAGCCAATTCTGGGCAACTCCGGCCCGATGACACGGTGCATTGTCCTGTTGGAATATCCCATCATTGTGGGGGTACATGAAGTCCATGAAGGGCTGCAAATGGTCACCAAGCAGTGTAACGTAGCGGTCACCGGTCAATGACGTGTTTAGGTGGACGAGCGGACCCAACTCATGCCACGTGAACACACCCCACACCAGTAAGGAACCACCACCAGCCTGCACGGTGCCTTGTTGACAGCTGGGGTCCATGGGCTCATGGGGTCTGCGCCACACCCGAACCCTACTATCCGCCCGAAACAACTGGTACCGTGACTCATCGGACCACGCCACATGTTGCCAATCCTCCAGGGTCCAATTAGCGACATCACAAGCCCAGGTGAGGCGCTGTGTCCGGTGTCGTGGTGTTAACAGAGGCACTTTGGCCGATCTTCTGCTCCCATATCCCATGGAAGCTAAAGAACGCTGCACTGACCTGCTGGATATGCGTCTGGTACCTCCTGCATTGAATGTGGATGTGATTTCAGCCAGTGTCGCTTGTCTGTTACCACGGACAATTCTAGCTACACGCCTCTGGTCACGATCATTAAGCACCCGTGGTCGGCCCCTGCGCTGTCCACGGGGGGTGGAAATGCCTTCCACAAGGTATTCCCGGTACACACGTGGCACCGTGGATCGAGGAATGTTGAATGACCGCACAACTTCGGAAATGGAATGTCCCAGCCGCCTGGCACCCACTATCATGCCCCGTTCAAACTCCGATAATTCACGTCGGCTTGCCATGAGCAGACTGGCCGGTCTTCAACCTGACTCAGGAGAGAACACCTCACAACTGATACTGCTCTGGGCATTCCCAAGCCGTCAAGGGACGGTGGCCCCACTTAAAAATAAATTTACATACTCCTATCCCATGACTTTTGGCATTTGAGTCCACGTCGTCCTGACCGGCTCTGGGGCCCACTCAGCCTCCTATCCAATGCGTACCGGGGGCTCTTTCCCCGGGGCTAAGGCGGGTGCGTGAAGCTGACTACTCACCTCCAACTAACGCCGAGGTCAATAAAATGTGAATCTATACATCCATTCCCAAATACGTCTTCATGGCGTAATGTTTAATTAGTTACGCACAGTGACAACTGTACCTTTACCTTACTTAAGAGTTTATTAAAGACGTGTGATACAGGCAACAAGTAACTTCAACTACGATGTTTCCAGACATGTTACAACTCTTCCAACACTCAACGCGGCTTATTCACGAAGGTCGAAGATATACAACTGCAAGCACTTGTAAGCAAGTATGTATATTTACATAATTCGCGGTATCTGTCCTTCCATCGGTCCGCTCGTCGCGT